CCCCACCCCCCCCCCCCCCCCCTCCCCGCCTCCTTATAACTTCACTTGCTCTTCAAGGCACAGGTTCACGGTTAAGTGCATGCTCATTAATTAAACTACTTCTTTTTAATTTATTATTAATTCTATCGGTTAATAATCCCACTCCTGCGTATCTCAGCGATCTCAGAGTGTATTTCAAAGAAGAATTTTATTTCAGAGTAGCCTGAAGTAGGATGGAGGAGTACTAAAATCGCAGAAAAAATTGCTGGAGTATGCCAACACTACCAGCGTACAATTTATTGTTGACCCGAAGGTTTTATTCCATGGTTGACTAATTTAAAGCTATTTGCAAATATTTAAGTTGATCAAGTGTAAGTGACTGCCAGGGGAGTCGCAGATTGGTTCTTTGAGACCATTATGACATGATCATGTTGCTTGCATAGACGATACAGCATGTTTCGGCAGAAAAACAGCATTTTGATAAATGAACATGCGCTGAACGGTGAACCTGTACCTTTAACGAGTGTCTTTTGGTCCAAAATATCTTTCAAAATTAAACAGTTGCTCCGGAGAATGACACACTGAACACGTGCAACGTAAAAAAGTATAGAAGTGTTCAAAAATCAACCTAAGAGGTCCACACAGGTATCTCTATTTTACGTCATCCTATAACATTATATTGTTAACAGTAAAAGGAAACAACATCTAAAGGCTGGCTTTCATTAGCTGCAGAGCCGGAGTCATAGTCAAAAGCACAGTAGAGCGCTATGGCGAGATTTGCTGAAAACCCCTCTTCAGACGCCGAGTATAGCGGGCGTTAGCATTGTTTAAGGTGGCCCGATTCCAGGGCGTAAGAAGCTAGGGCGTTGAAACGAGCGGGTTCGAGCGATCTAGCTGTGATGCAACGGTCTGGGTACTACCAAAAAGACAAAACAAGATGGCGGATATTATACTGGACCGTCAGAGGGATTATCCAGCGGACGTTAGCCTTTATCCCGGAGCATTCATTTGCTGCAAGCAATAGCTCTCTGAACCAGAGAGCGCGTATGAGCGTTTCAACGCCCTAGCTTCTTACACCCTGCCCGAAACTATTTATATGCACGTTGGTTATGTTTTTGAATCGCGTTTTTCGGCAGGAAAGATTTCTGTCTTTGTAAATATTATTTGTTACTTACTTTTTCACCTTGACATGTGTATTTAATTCTGTATTATCTTTTGCTAAGGTTTGGCGAAATAAATAAAATGAAATGACGTTACTGCCTTTAGGTGCCCCGAACCTATTTATATGCGCGTTGGTTATGGTTTTTGAATCGCGTTTTTCGGCAGGAAAGATTCAACCAATTTCTATGATTTTTAGCATCCTCAATAAAGAATTGTCGATCTTTAAGGACATGTTATTTATTTTCTTGTAGATTTAAAAAGGTTTGAGATATCGGCATATGTTTAAAACCGCATTTTTACAAAAAAAGTCAATAATTTAGAAAACCTAAGACAGATTTTTCTCTAACTTCGGCAAATAAGCCTTAGAGCTCAGTCAGTAGTGACTGTAAAACTCGCTGCACAAATAGCTGGTCAAATTTAACGTTAAAATTTAACGCTAACACATTTGTGAACATGAGTTGACGCACAAATAGAGGAAAACTGCAGATGGACTAGCAGCTGCACTGAAAGCCCTTGTACTTGGTAATTTATTGAAGCTTTTTAGACTTGATACCACATTCGCACGAGAAGTTTGCCACTTGGGAATAAAGATGAAGAAAATATGACAATCGTCTCATTCTTTTCATTATCCCCAATGGCCAACTGCCCGTGCGATTGTGATGGCAAATCAAACAAGCTTGAATAAATTACCAAGTACAAGGATTTTCGTTGCAGCTGAAAATGGATCGGTTGAAGTACTGGAGTTTGTGGCTTTAATTCTCCTCAAGACGGGAACCTTCGGTGGTAAATACTGGTAGGAGATGTCCGTAAATGCGATATCTTGCTTTATTGAGATTTTTTCTAAAAGAGAAGGGCAAATACACATTAACTTTCAGATGTTCTTTAATCTTGCCCCGCATTCAGCATAAAGTTGTTCTTCTTGTATTGGAAATTG